TCCACGCTCTTGCCAACACTTGTTATGCCCCCACCCTTTTTTTGTTTTAAATTATAGCCATCCTAGTGAGTATGAAGTGGTATCTCATAGTGGTTTTTCATTGTTTTTTGTTTTTTTTAAGCTAAGCCATCCTGCCAGTTGGCAGCTCAGCGGCTGCTCAGCTTGGGACGGGAATCGAACCGCTGTTGCTCAGAGCTCAAACTCTTGAGTGAGCTCTTAACCAACTGAGCCACTCGGCCGGCCCTCATAGTGGTTTTGATTTGCAATTTCTAATGACTAATGATGTCTTTTCATGGGTTTGTTGGCCATTTGTATGTCTTCTTTGGAGAAACCTATCTCTTCAAGACCTTTGTCCATTTGTGAATTGGGTTGTTTATCTTTTTTGTTGTTAAGAGTTCTTTGTATATTCTGGACTCTGGATCTTCATCAGGTACATGATTTGCAAATATTTCCTCTCATCCTGTAGGATGTCTTTTTACTTTCTTTTTTTTTTTTTTTTAGATTTTTATTGGGGGAATTGGGGGAATGGGAACAGTGCTGGGGAATTGGGGGAAGGGGAACAGACAAGTTGCTGTCGTCTTGTTCTTCAGTCTAGTTGTGGAGGACGTTGCTTCACTGGCCCAAGTTGGCACCATCATTGCGCTCTTCCCGGGTGAGGCAGATCAGTCGCCGGCTTCTGGACGGCCGCTTCTTTTTACTTTCTTTATAGTGTCCTTGATGCACAAAAGTTTTTAATTTTGATGAAGTCCAATTTATATAGTTTTTCTTTTGTTACCATTGCTTTTGGTGTCATATCCATGAATCTTTTGCCAAATCCAAGGTCATAAAGATTTACTGTAGTGTTTTCTTCTAGGAGTCTTATAGTTTTCACTCTTATATTTAGGTAATTTATCCATTTGAGTTAGGTTTTTTATATGGTGTGAGGTAAGGATCTAACTTTATTCTTTTGCATATGGATATCCAGTGTCCCAGCACCATTCGTTCATTGAAGACACTGTTTTCTCCCCTATTGGTTGCTCTTGGGCACCCTTGTTAAAAATCAATTGTAAATGTAAGGGTTTGTTTCTGGACTCTAATTCTATTCCATTGATCTATATGTTTGTCCTTTTGCCAGGACTATTCTGTTTTGATTACTGTACCTTTATAGTAAGTTTTAATAGCAGAAAGTATGAGTCTTCCAACTTTGTTCTCTTTGGAGGCTGTTTTGGCTATTCTGGGTGATGGGGAACCTTTTGCTACATTTGTACTTGTGCTGCTCTCTATAGATACATTTTGTTGAGGATTTGATGAGCCACTTAAAAGCAAGTTGCAGACATCACAAGAATTGAAATTCTTCTATATGTCTCTTCTAAGAATAAAAGCAGGGCCGGTTGGTTAAGAGCTGGCTTGGGATACCGGCTCTGAGCAGCAGGGCCCCGGTTCAGATCCCACATGAGGGCCAGTGACACTGCCCTCTACAGCTAAAATGGTGAACAACAGCTCGACCTGGAGCTGGGCTGTCGTGAGTTGCCAGCGATGGCCGTAGGCTGCAGTGGGCTGCCATAAGCTACCGTGTGTGGCTGGCAGCCAGCGTGAGCGGCGGACAGCCGATGTGAGCTGCCAAGAGCCGCCATGAGTGGACGTCCAGAGGCTGGCGACCGATTTGCCTCACCGGGAACAGCGCAATGATGATACCAACATGGGCCAGTGAAGCGATGTCCTCCACAACTAGACTGAAGAACAAAAGGACAGCAACTTATCTGTTTTCCTTCCCCCAATTCCCCAGCGCTGTTCCCATCCCCTAATTCCCCAATTTAAAAAAAAAATCTTTAAAAAAATAATAATAGTAATAATATGTAGTATTTTTGAACCCATATGTTATGTTTTGTTTTAAAGATTTTTATTGGGGAATTGGGGGATGGGAACAGTGCTGGGGAATCGGGGGAAAGGGAACAGACAAGTTGCTGTCTTTTTGTTCTTCAGTCTAGTTGTGGAGGATGTTGCTTCACTGGCCCATGTTGGTATCATCATTGCGCTGTTCCCGGGTGAGGCAGTCACTTGCTGGCCATTGGACAGCTGCTCACAGTAGCTCACGAAAGCTCACGCCAGCTGCTGGCCAGCCCCACTGCAGCCTACGCCGTCACCGGCGACTCACAGCAGCCCAATTTCAGGTCGAGCTGTTGTTCACCATCTTAGCTGTAGAGGGTGCAGCGTCACTGGCCCTCATGTGGGATCTGAACCGGGGCTCTGTTGCTCAGAGCTGGTGTCCCAAGCCAACTCTTAACCAACACGCCACTCGGCTGGCCCAAAGCATTCTTATTCCTCTATAGCAGTGGTTCTCAACCTGTGGGTCCCGACCCCTTTGGGAGTCGAACGACCCTTTCACAGGGGTCACTTAAGACCATTGGAAAACAAAAAGATACATTACGATTCGCAACATTACAGTTATAGAGTAGCAATGAAAATAATTTTATGGTTGGGGGTCACCACAATATGAGGAACTGTATTAAGGGGTCGCGGCATTAGGAAGGTTGAGAACCGCTGCTCTACAGAACCACAATGCTACTGTCACATCCAAATCATTTAAAATTATCGCATCTACAATCCACACTCACATTTTCCCAGTTGTCCTTTATAGCTTTTGAGAAGTTTTTCCTTCAGCTCCTGTCCAGTGTCACTCTTGGCATTTGATGGTCACATCTCTTTAGTCTCCCTTGCTCTGGAATAGGTCCCAGAAACTGATATTTACTGACATTGGTCATTTTGAGGAGACCAGGCAGGCTGTATCGAAGACTCCCATGATCTAATATTATCTGTTGTCTCCTTGTGATAGGACCAGGGTAAAAATGTTGCCAAGAATGTGTAATAGATGCCAGGTCTGTCCTGCTGCATTACACCAGGGCCAGAGCGTCCTGTGGGTTTGTCCTGTTCCTAGTGATGCTAAGCTGGGCCAAGGTGGACATACTATATACCCGTTGAATGAATGACTAGTTACAGTAATAGTTGCAGGCACATGGATGCAATGCGTCCTGCATGTGTGCTGGGCCCTGTGCCTGTTCCACCATTAGCCCCATTTGACAGATGAGAATACCAAGGCTCAGAGAGGCTAAGTGATCTGTCCTAGTGACACACTCAGCGGCATAGGCAGGACATGGATCTAGGCTGTATGCCTCCAGTGGCCACACTCATAATCACTATGCCGAATAAATGCAAGGAGGAGAGGGCTCAGCTGAAGGAAGCAGAGGTGCCACCCATAATTCTTTCTTGACCACTATCCCAGCCCCGCTCAGCTTTGAAGGCCAGTAATCCCGTGCCTCCATGTGACACTGAAGGTTAGGAGAGTGAATGCCTGACTCCCTCACCTGGGCCTGGGCTTCCTGCCAGGATCCTGGGACCCCCTGTCCCTGCCAAAGTTGCATCTTTGTCACTCTGTCTTCCCACCTTAGTGCCTGTTGGATGGACAGGGGGCCTGGCACCAAGACATGCTCCATGAGGGAATGTCCTAGGCCAAGATGTCTTCCTGGGTCCCACAGCTTCTGGCAACCCCCCATCTCAGTCCTGGTCACCCTGTGGACAGCAGTCTTCTCCTACTGGACAGGCTGTTGTCCCCACTGCCTGGTTGGCCTCAACATGGGTGGGCATCCAGGACACATGGCAGCGCTTTCAGGGAGGGATTTGTGGCACCCTGGAAGAACCGGGGGAACAAAGGAAGGGGGAGGGTGGTGAGGACAAGACTCAAAGGCAGCTGACAAGGAGCCTTGCTCGCTGGCCCTGGGGCCTGTTGGCTCATGCCCACCTCTCTCCTCACAGACGAAGATGTGTGTGTGTTCAAGTGCTCAGTGTCCCGCGAGACAGAGTGCAGCCGTGTGGGCAAGCAGTCCTTCATCATCACCCTGGGCTGCAACAGCGTCCTCATCCAGTTCGCCACACCCAATGGTACGTGTCCCTTCTGTCCCAGTGGCACACAGAGTGCCCCGAGCCAGGGGGCTTAGGCTCTGGGCCGTGGCTGGCGGGGACCTGGAGTCTAGTTCAATTATGGGCCACCCACCTGTCCCAGCGAGGCTCTGCTGCCATTCAGAATCACATTCCCAGGTGTAGATCTGTCCTGGTCAGAGCACATTCTCAATGCCTGGAACACTATGCCCTAGACCCTCCATCACTGGCTCCTTTGGGTCCTTCTGGGCTTAGTTTATAAGTCCCCTCCTCAGAGAGGCCTGTCCTGACCACCCAGCTGGGCTGCTCCCCAGGCCTCCAGGAGGAGCCTGTCGAGTGGCGCTTGGGGCCCAACTTGCCCGACAGCAGAGGATGGGGGCAAGACAAAGTCCTGAGGCAGGTGGAGGCTCTGTTCTGAGCACAGAGAGAAGCCACTGGAGGGTTCTAAGTAGACCTGTCTGGGGGGACACAAGTGGACCCATGAGCTTACTGAGGAGGGCTTGGGTGGCTTGGGGGCGAGGCAGCAGTGGAGGTAGTAGGACGCCCAAGGCTGGAGACTGCTTGACGGTCCAGCCATAGGACTTGGTCACCGCAGATCAGAAGTCAGTGGGTCTGGTGGGTGGCACTGGGGCTGGGGTGGGAGAGCCCTAGCAGGAGAACCCATCTGTCCATGGCCACCGCCATTGCCCCAGAGTCCCTCATTTGGCTCAGTGCCACCCCATGGAGGGGACTCCCCATTCCTGGACCAGCCTAGGGCCATCCCCTCTCGTGCACTAGGTTTCAGAGCTGCCACCTGCAGAGGAGAAGGCCAGGGTGGGGAGAAAGCAGCTAGGTGGTGGGCTACCCCCCATCCAGAGGCATTCTTATGCTCCACACTTCCTTTCCTTTTTTATGTACATAAAAAATTTAAATTCATTGTTAAAAAAATTAAGTTAGAGGGGCATCCGGTTGCCTCAGGTGGTTAGAGCATGGGCTCATAACACCAAGGTTGCAGGTTTGATTTCCACATGGGGGACTCCCAGTGAGCTGCGCCCTCCACAACTAGATTAAAGACAACGGCTTGACTTGGAGCTGAGCTACTGGTGGGTGGCCGGTTGGCTCAGTTGGTTAGAGTGCAGTGCTTGTAACACAAGGTTGTGGGTTTGATTCCCACATGGGCCAATGAGCTGCGCCCTCCACAACTAGATTGAAGACAACAACTTGACTTGGTGCTCAGCTGCGCCCTTCACAACTAGATTGAAAACAACAACTTGACTTGGAGCTGATGAATCCTGGAAAAATACACTGTTCCCAAATGAAGTTGAAACAAAAAACAACAGAGAAAACTCCACCACTAATATCCTTTAAGAGTTGGTGTTGTCAACTCCTGTAGTCTTTTTCTATTCTGTGGATATTTATATTTTACTTTTTTTTTTTTTAATTTTATTGAAGAACAGTGTGTTTTGCCAGGACCAATCAGCTCCAAGTCAAATACTTGTTTCAATCTAGTTGTGGAGGGCGCAACTCAGTAGCCCATGTGGGGATGGAACCAGCAACCTTGGTGTTATGAGTACTGCGCTCTACCCAACTGAGCTAACCAACTGCCCCTATATTTTACTTTTTTTTTTCATTCTTATCATTTTTAAAAATTGTGGTAAAATAGATGTAACAAAAAAAATTTACCACTTTAACCCTTTTTGAGTGCCCAGTGGCATTAAGTACATTCATACTGTGCAACTGTCACCACTGATGCATCTCCAGAACTTTCTCATCTTCCCAAACTCTGTCTCCATTAAACACTAAGTCCCTACCCGCTTCCCCTAGCCCCTGGCACCCACCATTCCACTTTCTGTCTCTGATTTGGCTCTGCTTTCTTATGCTTGATACAATTAGCAGTCATCACTCTGTGTTAATAAATATAGTTTATTTTAAAGGCAGGATACCATCCAGTCCTGCAGACCCATGGCTGTCGGCTCTCTGACATGCTTCTCTGTGTCCGCTCGTATTCGTGCAGTCCTCTCTGACAGAACACTGAGGTGGCATCCATGTGTCCACTGCCATGCTCAGACACTGCCGTGTGTCACTGTGTGAACATGCAGTTGTTTGCTGGGGCAAATCCCAGAAGTCTGACGCCTGGGTTGGCAGGCTGGTGCCCTGCAAAGTCTCGGGCCATACCAGCTGCGTGGAGCACACTCACCCCAGAGTGTGGGATACCCACTTCCTTGTGTCAGCCACCAAGTGACGGGTTTGGCTGCCCATCTTTTCCTTAAGTTTCAACATTGATTTTGGAAAAAAGAAATTGCCAAGTCACACATACTTAACACAGGAAAGTTGGGGTACACAGCTAGACCGAAGGCCACTGGCCCATCTGAACCCTCCCACCCGAGACAGCCATGCGTGACCTGACTTCCCCCTTCCAGATTTCTGTTCCTTCTACAACATCCTGAAGACCTGCCGGGGCCATACCCTGGAGCGGTCGGTGTTCAGCGAACGGACGGAGGAGTCCTCCGCCGTGCAGTATTTCCAGGTGGGTACGTGCCGTCCCCGGCCAGGCCACCACCACCCAATGGCCCCCGGGAGGCCGCGCAGCACAGGGCAGGCCCACCTGGGTTCACGTCCTGGCTCTGCCCCTTACTAGCTGCGTAACCTTGGGCAGGTTTCCTCCACTTGCTGGGCCTCAGTTTCTTCATCTGTGAAACAGATGCCAGGGCCTGCCTAGAAGGGTTACTAGAAAGACTTGAGTGCAGGTGAACTTCAGGTCCATAGGCACTTTTTAGTAATGATAGCATAGTTAGAATGTACTGACCACGTAGGGCACGCCAGGCACTGGTCCAAGCGCTTCCACAGGTATGGAAGCACTTGAGCCTTCCCAACAACTCTAGGAGGTAAGTACTATTGTTGTCCCCATTTTGCAGATGAGAAAACTGAGGCTCAGAGAGGTTAAGTGACTTGCTCCAAGTCACACAGCTATTATGCAACAGAGCCAAGATGGGAAGCCAGGCCTGCCTGATGCCAAAGCCTGTGCTCCTGCCCAGGTGCCACGCTGCCTCCCGATCGCCCGTTGTCTTACAGAGAGACCCCGCAGCACCTCGCCCGCCTGGCGCTCTGAGTCCTAGGGTTCTGTTTTGATCTACTCCTGCGCTTCTTTGGGGGCCCCTAAGATGGGGCAGGCGGCCCCTGATCCCAGAACCTTGCCTGTGGCAAATCTTGAGCTCTCCTCGTGGCTTCCAGGTCCAGGTGGCATCCAGCTGTGTCCTTTGGTCACGGTGATGGTGGCGGTGTCCCTCCTGGGGGCTGCCTCTGGCTTCCCAGTCCCTCTCCCAGAGCAGCCAACAGCTGCCAGTGGGGTCTGGGCTGGCAGAGCGGGTGCAGCCTCCCTCGGGAGGTTTGTGCCTGAGGTGGGCCCTCCTCTGTTGAGGGCCAGCCAGGGCCTTGGCTGTTTGTGCCACCGTGTGCGCTGTGCCATTGGCGTGTCTCTGTTCCAGTTTTATGGCTACCTGTCCCAGCAGCAGAACATGATGCAGGACTATGTGCGGACGGGCACCTACCAGCGCGCAATCCTGCAGAACCACACAGACTTCAAGGACAAGGTGAGCGGGGCCTGCCCTGCCTCCCTCCACCCTCTCCCTCACTCTGCTTCTCTCAGGCTCCCAGCGCACCACACTGCGGCAGTTGCCTCTCTCTTTTTTCTTTGCTTATGGATTTCATCTTTAATTTTTTCAGATTACAAAAGCAGAATCCTCTTTTGAGTCAAAACTCAACCTGGCATGTACAATATAGACATGAAAGACCTCTGTCATTTCCCTCCAAAACAGCCACTGCCCAATTTTTCCCATGCATGTACCAGCATACGTATTTTAGAGTTCTTTAATCTTTTTTTATATATATACACAATCGGACTGTGATCTACCACATGCTCTTCTGGCAAAATACTTTCCCCCCACTTAACGGGCTGTCTTGAGACATACTATCAAGTCCTATGGATGTATTGTAATTTACCTAGTTATTTCTGTTGTTCCTTTTAATATCTTTTTAATATTACCAAGTAGTGTAAAGTGAGTCCTCAATGTTTTTTTTGTTTTTTTTTCAAATTGGGGAACAGTGTGTTTTTCCAGGACCCATCAACTCCAAGTCAAGTAGTTGTTTCAATCTAGTTGTGGAGGGCGTGGGGATTGAACCGGCAACCTTGGTGTTATGAGTACTGTGCTCTAACCAACTGAGCTTATCAGCTGCCTGAGTCCTCAATGTTGATAAGTTCTACAACTTTAAGGCGAAATGACATAAGGAGATCAGTTTTATGTAGGCTAATTGATATAAACAGGAGTTAGGTTCCTACAGCGTCTCATCAACGTCATAATGAACGATGTTGAATTAAATCACGTTATTTGAGGGACACACTGTATACTCATGATTTTAAAAAGAGCAGTACAGAGCACCTGTGTTCAGAAGTGAAAGTTTATTCTCTTCTTTACCCCCTTTGAACCAAATGGGAGCTTGTGTTTTTCTCGACTTATCTTTGGGGGCTCTCAACATGGTCCGTCTGGATCTGCCTCATCCATTGCCTTGGTTATACCCCAAGAATTCCCTCAGGACAGAGCACCCTGGGCCTCAGGGCCTGAGCCCCAACAGCCTGGGGAGGCGTTGTCCTGGACACAGCAGCATGCCTCTCAGCACCATCCTGGTGTCCCGAGCTTCCTCCTGGCTGCTGGTGTGTGGCGTGGGGCCCGGATACTACATATTCCTTCAGCAAAGTGCCTTCCAGCCCTCCCAGGATGGAGGTCCATTTCTTGGTTCATCCTGAGCTCTGAGAGGCACCCTGAGGCCCTCCTATCTGACCGTCCTAGTGCCCCTTCTGGGTGCTCACTCTGCCCACTGCTGTGCCCAGAGCAGTTCTGCTTTAGAAAGCGCATGCACATCTCCACCAGGAAATTTTATCCTGGTTCCGCTGACACAGGAGCAATCAGACAAATCCAGAGTAAGTGATGATCTACCATACACTAGCCTGGACTCTTCCAAGAGCCCAGATCCCAGGGGCCAGCAGCTCTTGAGACTGTGCCCAGCCAGCCCCAGGGCTTGAGCAGCTCACCTGCCCCAGCCCAGCCACTGGCTTCTTCTCTGGGCTGGGGTCAGCACGCAACCAGGAGATACCGTCATCAATATCCCCAATACCCCGCGAGCCCTTTTCCCCCATTGAGGGCTGCAGAGGTCCCAGAAGGATACCTCTCAGCTGCTGAGCCAGTTTCTAGGGAGGACCACAGCACTCAGCCCAGCTGATTTAGAGGCCATGGAGCCTGTGGGGTTGGGGCTAAGTAAGCTTTCCCCTGGGGCTCCTCACAGGATGTGGGGAATGGGGTTGGGGGCTTCTCACCTCCTGCCCTCTGTGTGGAGCTCAGTGGTCACACCGAGGGCTTCAGCGGTGTCTTCCCCTAGTGAGTGCTCATTCCCAGAGAAACCATAGGCTCACTATGATAGCCAGGTGTCCGCTGTGCTGTATAGATAGCTCACAGCTCAACCAGTCCTTCTTGAATCAGGTCCGAGAGCATGCGATGGTCTTAACAGCCTAGCTGTCTTCAGAAATCCTGTTCTACCATCTCCAGGTCCAGAACCGGGGACCCCTGTGTACTCCAGGCAGCTCAGAAACCATGCTATGGGTAGTCGCTCGTGCTGGAGGCAGGCTTCAGGGCCCCGGGGGTTCACTCAGCAGGGTGGCTCTGCAGTGAGCCCAAACCTGGTGACTTACACATCTTTATGATCACCACCACTTCATCAGTGTCTTGTTCTCACTGGCCTCTCCTCCCTTAGATCGTTCTTGATGTTGGCTGTGGCTCTGGGATCCTGTCATTTTTCGCCGCCCAAGCTGGAGCAAGGAAGATCTATGCGGTAGAGGCCAGCACCATGGCCCAGCATGCAGAGGTCAGCAGCCAACAGGGACCCCAGCCTGTTCTTGTCCTTCAGCTTGTGCCCACTTCAGCCTGGGGAAACTGGCCCTGCCAGAGGTACCCAGGAGACCTCAACCCCAGACCCAGGGGAACCTGGAGACATCATTTCTCTACTTTGGTCTCTTTCCCCTAAAACTAAGTGGTTGCAGGAGGGAAAGGCTTGCTGGACCTGAGGTAGTGTCCCCTCCATGACTGGTGGTCACTTACTGGGTTCAGGGGAAGTTTGGGGTCTTGAGAGGCTAG